GTGACGTACCAATCAATTCCTGCTCCCAAGAGAAGATAACTCTGCAATACGCAAAGACGGAATACCCAATGAACTATTGGTTTCTTATTTAAGCGTTCACTTATTAAACATTTGTTAATTAAGTATCTATTTTATAATGCGTCTGTTTAATTCAGCGTTTACTTAATTCCAATACGGCCTTGACTTACAATTGTATAACGAATGACTTTATAGACTGTATATCTAATACATCTTTTACCTAATTTACTGAATGAAGTTTGTATTTAATAAAACGTTTTCTCAATCAAGCATTTACCTAATTAAGTATTTACGTGCTCATTTAAGCGTACATTCAATTAAAAGGTAACATATACTTTATTAAGGGTATACTAAATTTGATATTTAATAATAATAATATACAGCATTTAATATAATGCCCTATCTATCTAGAATAAGCCACTCTTAAGCTCTTAACAGTACATAGATATACAATTCATACAATCATTACAATTAGCATATATACATTAATCAATATTGAGGAATTCGCAGGAGCTGCCTTGTCAGGCGCTAACTACTAGTCCTATGCCACCTGATTAATATCTCCATTTTTGTGTATACCTGCATGTGTGCTGGAGATGTAACGTGTAGCATTTACTTGATTGAGCATATCTATTGTTTGTGCTTACCTTAATTTAGTGTTTGCTTAATTAAGATTATGTGCTTAATTAAGCGTATCATTATTTAGCTTATTAAAGTCTGATTTTTGGTTTTTGTAGTGTTATTTACATGTCGACGTTGTTCCGACTCTGTTTTATCCCAAATATTGTTTTCTATTATTTATTTTGTTTCTATTATAGAAATGCAGTATCATTGTATGCGATGTAGGATTTATTAATTTTATTCTTTACAAGTACATATTTTCGCGCTTTTTTCGTTATGAGTTAAGATTGCGCTTTTTGACATCTATTACTGTACTTTTGTTGCAAATATTGTAGGTGTGCGCTTATGTGTTAAATTACGATAATAGGATTGATTGTTTAAATATTTTGCCTAATTATTTCATATGTAGTAGCTAAATTTTGTTATCCCCTCGATATGGTGCCGTGAAGAAAATATAGCATTCCATTGATTTTTATTAAACTTAAAATATTGGTCATGCATGGAAATATCTCGATTATGTTTGTGTTTAATAATAATAATAATGTCAAGATAAATGTCGTCGTTTTGTTTTGTCCCCTCTCTAGCGGCTTCGTTTCTCCACGGATTTTAATCAAACTTCATATAGTGGTCATGCATGACAATATCTCGAACGCGTTTGTGTTTCCATGTACCGAGGTCAAGTTCAAGGTCGCAATTACAAACAATGAACAAACGTTCCTAAACTTAATCTATGCACAAGCACGATAACAATTGCTCACGCATGTATTGACCATCTTCGATATCCCAGGAGTTACCCTCACTTTCGCTCTCTGCACCCCTCGAATAATTCATAGCAGAATTGAAAGCAAGCTGATAGCTATTTAATTGGCTTTAGGTGAAAAAAATATTACCAATCGCAGGCTGATGCATGTCATTTCAAGATTACAAAGGAGAGACACCCGACTTCAAAGCCAGTCAATTTTTCCGTTTAGCTGCCTGGCGATTCTGTCTCATCTAGTCTTCTTGTCTCATCCACAAGGTGGCGCACACTAGGCCTTCGATTTTGCTATGACATATTCCATGGGTGCAGAGATAGTAAGTGAGCGTAATCCTTAGAGCATTGCGGATGGTAATGCCGAAGTCCCTTCCAAAGATTGTGAGGTTAAGGATTCCCCCTCCAAAAGAAAAAGGGATACAACACAACAAATATGATACTCATCGGAAACGTTTGTTCCAACATTACTATAGCTTTGTAAATCATTTCTGTAAAGAAAACCATACATTGCAGAACTGTTATGAAAACGATAAAGAGATGGATTTAAAAAAGTGTTCTGTCTGTAAGACTGCAGCATAGTAAGAACAGGATTCGACATGGTCATCAGTTGTTGTCTTCGAAACGCAAAAAAAAATATAAGAGGAGGTAATTGTATGTACAAAAACCTGAAGTGGCGTTCCTAAGTGTTTTGCCGGAATGGGACCGGAACCCTTAAGGAATTGTAAGTTGAGAGAAAGTTACAAGCTGAAGTGCTTAAAACTCATACAACTACTTTAAATATTGTTATTTTCCTCCTTATCTATGAAGGATCACACGAAGCTGTGTATGTAATTAATGTAGCTACTTCCTTTACTTCGTCTTTATAAATATTTCAAAATTTAAGTTTGTGTGATGAAAACCTACCGAGCTAGTTGTTTTTATTTGTAAACTGTCGTGTTTCTGTGCATTATCGATGTTATTTACGCGCTTGAGTAGAGCTTGCCTTAAATTAGTCCCAGCCAAAACACATAGGTGAAGCGGACAATCTCTGGGGAATTGACAGGTAGGGCGGGGCCTAAGGGTATATAAGCCGGCCGAAACGCGCATGCATAACCGAACTACTCGGTAGTGAAGCGGACGTAAAACCTATCAATCAAGCAATCAATCAATCATCGCGTGCATCGCCACTCGGCTAGTTGGCCCGGCTATTCTGTTTTGGTGGCTTCTAAGAGCAGACGACTACTTGTTAGTTGTAAGTATGCTAGAGAGCGAGCTATAGGGAGTAATAGGGACCCCGAGTAGTTAGGATAAATCAAGGTTAGCAAGAGGAGTTCTACATATTGTACAGTAAAGGCATACAGGTAGTGGTGCCGAGCTATCATTGTAGCGAGACACCGGCCATACTGAGCTATCC